AGCGGCTACTGCACTCCAGTCTGGGCGACAGACTGAGACTCCAACTCAAAAAAAAAAAGGTTTTTAATGTGAAGCATAACACATGTGCCATCCTCAGAAACCAATTAAGCTACTATACAGATCTGTGATTTAATTAGAATTCCCACATCAGAAGGCTACTAAGTAGTTTCTAGAATCATACTGTCTGGGTTCGAGTCCTAGCTCAGCCACTTAATAGCTGTATGACCTTAGTGGGTTACTTAACCCTTCTGTTCTTCAGTTTCCTCATCTGTAAAATGTGGCTAATGATGGTACCTAACTCAAGGAGTTGTTGTCCTACCAGTAAAGCCCTTAATGCAGAGTTGGGGACCCAGCAAGAGCTCAGTAAGTATTAGCTCTTATTATGATCAGTGATGTTATCGTGTAACCAGAGGCTCTTCATGTGCAATTAACCTGTTTATAATTCAGCAACTTGAATCAGGTTATGCTGAAGTAACTGGATGGCAAGAATCAAAGAAACTCATAAATCAATCCACATGCAAACAGATGATATCCTCATCTTCTTATGTTTCCTAAAGCATCATTACAGTTCTAATTTTATTTTATTTTATTTATTTATTTTTTTGAGTTGGAGTCTCACTCTGTCACCCAGACTGGAGTGCAGTGGCTGCTCCCGGCCACCGCAGCCTCGACCTGCTGGGCTCCAGTGATCCTTCCGCCTCAGCCTTCCAAGTAGCTGGAACTACAGGTGCGCGCTACCACACCCGGCTCATTTTGATTTATTGTAGAGATGAGGTCTTGCCAAGTTGCCCAGGCGGGTCTTGAACCCGCGGGCTCAGGCAATCCACTCACCTCAGCCTCCCAAAGGCGTGGGATTACAGGCTGAGCCACCGAGCCCGGCTTACAGTTCCAATTTTAAATATACCTGAACACACCACTGTGAAGTGAAATTACTGTTATAATAAACAGCAGTACTTTTTTGCTTACTGTAGTGCAACATGGTGTGGAGGAAAGCAGGGGGGCTCAGAATGAGGAACAGGAGTGCAAGTCTGACCACACAGTTTATAGACTATTATATTTGAGAAACTTCGCTGAGTCTCGGTGTTCTTATTTTTCAGACAGGGAAAATAATACCTACCTCCCAGGGTGGCTGGGAACATTACAGAGAACTCATTCATGAATGGGCTGGGGGTGGGGGGGAACTGAACTCCCTAAACATGGATAGAAAGTGAGTATATTCGAAAATGTACGTTTTTAGGGAGACTTTCGCGACATTCACTAGAGGCTACATAATCCGCGAGTTTAGGAAACACAAAGGCGAGGAAAGTGGGGCACGGCAGACCCCTAAGAGGAGGTCAGAACACGCTGAGCTTCAACACTTCTTGGCAGGCCACTTGAGAGGGCAGCGCTTAGTGCCCCGAATAATGAAAGGAGGGACCGGAGGAAAGCCCAGGAGGCGCCGGGCCACGAGGAGGCACCATGCTGCTGGGAGGAAACCCGTCCGTCCGCCCTCCCGATGGTCGCAGCCCAGGGACACCAGGAAGCCGTGGAGGCCCTGGCCGCAGCCACTCCTCCCGGGGGGCTTCCTGCGGCGCTTTCGGGGAGCGGGCAGGGGCTGCGGCCCGGGCGCGGGGGCCGGCGGCTGGAGCCGGGAGCCCTGGGTCCTCGCGTTCGGCCCCGGGCCCGCAGGAAGAAGCGCTCCTTCGCGGAGCCGGGGCACCGGCGGAAGGCGAGAGGCTCCCCAACTTCCACTGCAGCGCGCCCGCTTGTCAGCACACCGGGCTGAGCCCCGCGGAGGCTCCCGCAGG